ATTTCCTATATTTTTCTTTCTTTGTCCAGTATATACTAACTGATCACAAGAGAAACATATTGCTATTCCGATTTCAGGAGCATATGAACCACTATTTGGCAATCGTATTAATCTTCTAGCTTCAAGATATTTTTTACTTTCATTAGGTAATAGATTATTCTCTCTGAAATATGTAAGACGTTCTCAAATCCGTTTCATCCACTCACTAGGAGTTTTATTATCACAAATTTGTAGCATATTACAATATTCAATCCATTCAGCATCAATACAATCAGTTCTACAATTGTTTATGCCAACCATTTTACGACTTATTATAGTGTGTTTTTAGAGATTATATAATTTATATCCTATTTAGAGATCATACAATTTATATACTATTTAGAGATTTAGACCTATTAAATTTAATAACTTTATACATTATGAATATACGATTCATTTTTAGTGTGTTAATTTATTTCAGAAAAATCGATTACAAATAAATTATACTTATATTTTATTAATTTAGAAAAACTAGATACGCATGTCCAGACATAGTAGTCACATGATATTGTAACCTATAGGTCACATACTACCAAATTTAAAATACTAACAAATATCATTTTGATAACAGTTACCGACTTTATATATTAATATTTTTTTATAAGAATGTAACCTCAAGGTTACGTACTATATTACACAAGGTGCAGTATATAGTGCAGTAGTCATATGACATTATGACCTGTGGGGTCATGTACTACATTACATGAGACATAGTAGTTATATATAATATATTATATCATGATTACAGTAGGACTTTGAGCAATCTATGTAGGGGTAAGAGTTTTAAAAAATTACTAAAAATAGAAAGATCTGCATAAAAATAGTCAAAAATAAGCACATGTCTTACTTAAAATAGAAAAGATCTGCAAAAAAACAGTCAAAAATAAGCAAATTATATTCTTACCCCTATATAGATTACTCTGGGTCCTATTATAGTCAATGAAATTTGCCTGACCCAAGGTCAGTAAAATTTTTTGCTAATTAGCTTTTGAATATATCTAATTTTTATATAAAATAATGTCAAACACAATTGATTTACTGAAAGAATTAAATTTCAAGCTCTTAGCTAAGATTATTGAACTTAGAAAGAAGAATACTGAAATTCCTGTATTTAGAAAGAAGTTTGCAGAGGTCGAAACTGAGAATGCAGAACTAAAACAGGCTATAGAAGAAAATACAGTGCTCAAGATCTGATTTGAAGAACTAGAAAAGAAACATCAAACAGATACTACCAAACTTACTGCTGAGAATACTGAGCTGAAAGATAGAGTTACAAAATTGGAACAGATATGGACTCTAGTCACTATTAATGACCAAAATGCATCTTCTACAAAAGATAAGAAATCTATTATTACTGATTTCACACCTGAACCAATACACAGCTCAACCCAGCTACAAAAAAGTAAGTCTAAATATATATTTGAATCTCTAACAGAGTCTGTAACATCCATAACTTCTTTACAACAAGATATTGTTGATGATGATCTGGCTAGTGTCCTTGAATTCGTAGAAACAATATATAAAGAAAATGTTGCACCCACTATTTCTCATGAGCAAAAGAAAGAACAAGGCTTAATTCAGGAAATATCTGCAGGTGATAGCCAAGATGATGCATTCCCATCCACCCAAGATCATGACTCCATATCTCCAGAATATTCAACTGAAATTTTGCTGACCTCAGGTCAGGAAAAATCGATCATCTTCCAAAATATCGCCAACTTATATGAAAAAGCATGTGATGCGGAATATGAATCAATAAAAGCTAATCAGGCTGAAATTTTATGCTGGAGTAATTTTATTATAGTACTTGACAAAAGTCTTGATGAACTCATGGTTAGGGATAAAGTAAGTATGAAAAAAGCTAAAGGTCAAGTTTATGATTTTATTATTGCACAAAATCCTGGCACTAGGCGTGAATCACTATATAAAAAAATTGAAAGAGCTAGAAAAATTTACAGGTTATTCGAAAAAATAGGTCTAGATAAAGTAAAATATATTAAGTCATATAGCGCAAATGCTATTTCTAAATTTACCAATGAACAGATTCAAACGATTATTGATCATTTTACTAAAAATCCCACCAAAGAATTCATCGATGACCAGGACAATTCTTTAGATGACTTACCCAAAACTGATGTAGGTGAGGAAACTTTACCGAAAATTGAGGTGAGTACACTAACCATATCTCAGCCCAAGCAGAATTAGCACAGTCAAAAGCCTCCTACGCCCCTCCAAAACTCTTCCCATTCAAGAGAAAGCTATCAAAAGAGATGCGTAATCCAGTTATTAATAAACTAACCTCACATTTTACTGATTCACCAAAGTTAGATAAAAAATTGTAGTATTGATACTGAAGGTGAGCATCAAACTGATTCCCCACTATGTAGAGAAAATCATATGAGTTTATATGGTAAGTGGTGGCTAGATAGTCGAAGTAAAAATACATATTATTTATATTGCACTAATTTAAAAGAGCCAGGAATTCTATACGATGATGTACTAAAAGCATATTCTGATAATTCGGAACTGATTCAAGAGTTAAAAACTCGATGCTTCACAATACCCATCCCTTGGAATAATGCTCTTATTTTACCAGATAAAAGCATAATCCTGGAAGCATAGTCACTGTATGACCTTGTCTATGACAAGAAATCATTATTATTACGTATTTATCATATCAATAAAGAGTTAGATCGTCAGTCCGCATCACTAAGATTCTAACGCGTCTCAACCGCGACTCAACTGAGGTATGACTTTTTTCATCTAATTATATAAGAAAAATTCAACCGCGACACAACCACGACTCAACTGAAGCATTTTGGACTAAGCGATCTTAAATGAAAATAATAATTATTATAGCGTATCAAATATATAAGTGGTATGATTAGTATGAACCAAAGGCTGATCGATCTACTGGCAATCGTGAACAATTTACAAATAAGTAGCTAAGCTTAATTCGATCAAAATACGAAATTACACTTTTAAGAGTTATTTTGCATTTATACGAAAAGTCTAATTTTAGAAATTATGAATAACTCTTACTTAATAGCCGACTTGAAAATTAGGGGTTTCAAAATTATAACTAGAGAACCTTAATTTATTTTTTCGATTTATAGCGAAGCTAGTGTCTTTGACACATAATTTATCTATGGTAAATAACCAATACAGTACTATGCTCCTTCTTGAGTTCCATAACATATTTAGTTAGTGCAATTCCGAAAAACAATAAAAAAAAGATTTATACTGATCGTCATGCACTTTAATCGAGACAAAAGCGAACACTCATACAATAGATAAATATAGTAATATGTGTTGCATATCGTGATTTTAAGTGCAGAAATTTACATTTTTACTGCGTTTAATGTATTGACCAATTAATTATGAGATTTAGCATATGTACAACATTAAAAATGCCTTATAACCATACACTTCGTGAAATTTTCAGGCCCTTTAGGGGCGCCTCCTTGAGGCATATCACTCTGCCAAAAATTTCGCTGACCCGAGGTCAGTAAAAAATTTTGCCCGAAGTGGTGTAGTTGCAAAAATACCATTCTTGATGGATCGTCGGTACTGTTTTTGATAGGTACGTAGCAAAAGAAAAATAATCCACATACCGTTCTTGATAGGGTTCTAAAAAAGAACCTCTAAAATACTATACTACTATAGTGAAAAATAATTAGGATTAGGGTTCGTTTTTAGAACCTTATCAAGAACAGTACCCAAATAAATTTTTTTATTAACCCCATCAAGTTCAGTACTGCCGATCCATCAAGAATAGTATTTTTGCGGTGTAGTTACACTGCATAAAAAATTGTAAAAATATAGATTTCTCCATGATTTGGCCTAAAAATATCATATACATATTGATCTATATATATCAATATTTTTCCGTGTCCCTGGTGTCACACTGTTTTCAAAAAAAACCATGTCTAGAACACTTATTTCTCCTTTGATAAAATCTACTTTTCACTGTGGCCGTCACAAGAGCGTGCAACCTCGTTTATTATCAACATTCGAAAAAGTCTGCTCTTATAGTCGAAGTAATATAAAAAGACTTGACGTGTTAAAAAAGGTTCATTTGCTTGTCCTGAATTTATTGCATGAAAAATATTATCGTTTTAACCTAGCTTTCTTGCAGGTTTACTCACCCCTTTTAATCCATGAAGAAGGAACACAAGAATGGTCCAAACTTATTAAATCTGGGAAAGTTTGGGAGGACTACTTTCGCCCATTTGAGTGGCGTGCACAAGATTACTGTATGATTTCTTATTTCTTGTAATTTTCGTGTGAAAATACTAACTTCTTATCAATCTTTAGACTTTCAGGCCGAATATACCGATTTTTTGAAAGCAATTGATGGCCTCAAAGCCTCCTCAAGAATTTCATCTGTGGACATTCTAAAAAGGCTGACTGTAAGTTTTGCACAGCATAGTTGCGCCATAGAAGGAAATACATTGGAACTAGCAGAAACACAAAAAGTTTGGAACACGCTGAAGAAGAATTTTAGCTTGAATGACTTTCTAAAAAATATAGACACGCCGTTACCTGCACCAAGTTCTCTTTCCGACAAACCAGAAAATGAAGTTATCGAAGTTCGAAATCATCTACTGGCAACCTATTTTCTATATAATACTTTTTATGAGTTAGAGCACGAAATTGACCTTGATGGTATCAAGACAGTCCATCGCATTATGTTAAAAGACACATCTCTGGAGAGAATTGAATTTGGTGAGGATTTCCAACGCGCAGGTGAGTTCCGAAAGACAGAAGTAGAAGCACGTGGTTCGATATACACCGTTTATCCAGTAAGCTCTGTTAACATTATTTTGAGATTCATTTAAGATTTGATTATTAATTACTTCATATTTCCTGTAGCTTCCACTAGAAGTCCCCGCATTGATGGAAAGACTCATACAATTTCGAGACGAGAGCCAAAATAGTGGTCTTCATCCTCTCATAATCGCTAGTCGTATACTTTCGACCTTCCTTCATGTTCATCCATTTGCAGATGGTAATGGGCGTGTTGGACGTTCAATTATGGCATTATATCTCATCCGCAATGGGCTTCCGCCCGTTGTTTTCCAAGATATTCCACGAGAAGAATACACATCTACTTTATTTCTAGCACAAGCAGAAAAGGATTCGATTCCACTATATGCTTTGGTTGTGCAAAACATCTTTAATATTTTAATGAGATATCAAGCGTAGATCTGTATATACTTTGACCTTAGTGAATGAATATATCATAATCTAATGTGAAAAAATTGTAATCAATAAAAAGAAATTAATCTTTTGCCGAAACAAACAATGACAATAATGCTGGCTTGGTTTATATTTTGGGACATCATGATTTTTAAATGACTTTTTTTCTAAAAAATTATGTGCATTGATATTTGTCTTTCGAACTGTTTTCAGCACTAGAAGATCAACCTTTTTTAACGCTATAATCTATAAATTTACGTGTCATTTTGTCTAGCAATTAAAAGCTAATGATCACTTTTCCAAAAAAATCCTAGTATACATCGATAACCATACAATAAAATACATTCGGGACACCTTAAGAATAGTTAACCCAATGATCGACGATCATATGATAAACATATTTGTTTACCAAAATTAAACAAACTGGCCTAAACTACGCCCTAACCTAGCCCTAACCCGCCCCTAACCCGCCCCTAACTTAGGCCGAATGATAGTCATGTGATATTGTGATGAGCACTAGGTGAACTCTACATTCATTGTGACATCGATTGACACAGAAGGCTTTGACAAAAATTTTACACAATCTGATTTATTGTTATTATCAAATCGCTTATTTTTATACTATTCGAGAATTTTCACACTCTCATTGCCTATATATTCCATCCACTACTTTTTTGCATGTTTTGCAATATAGGTGTGAATGGTGATTGCATTCGTCACAAACCTTACACCCGTGCTTCCATCCTCTAAATATATGCCACTTTTCGATATAATTTCGACTTTTTTTATTTGGTAATATATTGTTCTGATCTTTCATTGTTATATTAACAGAAAAAATATAACGTAGCTAATTTTTTAAATACAAACCTGTAATGTGTGGCACCATATACCTGTACCCGTCTTACAAATAAATTAATTGTGTTAAGGTTGAATAAACTTAATTTCAGTATTTTTCATAAATAACAAATACGCACAGTACAATATAAAAATATACTAATGAGCATGACATACATGTCACAGGCGCAGTATATGGCGCAGTAGTCACATGACATTGTGACCTGTGGGGTCACGTACTACCAATCTGCCTTTTTTCTCACGTTCGATTTTTGATTTATAATAGATATCTAGAAAGCCCTTTCTTATTATATACAATACTGCGATAAGAAAAGGCACAAATGGGATTTAAAAGGGCTATACTAAGAAAGAGTACAACGTTTTTTATCAGTAGTATTATTAAACTTCATATGCCACAGGAACTTGGAATTCTCAGATCGCTAAGATTGTTGACTTTTTTTACTTAGTAGTAGCAATCATCAAATCTAAGGGGTCTATGTTCCTAAAAGGATGCTAAATATATTTAGTATTTGGGTCTTACAACTGAAATAAAGTTCTTTGTTAAGTGTGATCTGGCAGTATTAGAATAACACAATTACTAATCATATTACTAGCAAGTTTTTTTAGATCTAGCGAATGGTTGGTATAAAAATAAGTGATATTTCTGCTTCTTGTAGGTGGGTTATAATAATATTTTTTTGCTCATATATAATTTTTTATCCAACCATAATTTATTTTTAAAGTAATGTCATTTTGTCTAACGGTGTCTATAAAAATGAATTTGACTTATTAACTTTTTTTGTATTTAGGAACATAAAATGAGCACTAAAGATAGCACCACCCCCAAGACTAATAATGATGCTATCACTCCTAAGACTAATGATAGTAATGCCTCCAAGACTAATGATTCCAATTCAAAAAGCGATCAAAAAAAACTATCTGGTGTAGGTATAATTCTTGATTATCCAATTCTGTGGAATTATCCTGGTATCAACCCTATAACATTTTCAAAAGTATTAAAAGTTTGCAGATATTATAGCTTTTAATTTTTATTTGTATTTATATTATTTGTATATTGTTATTTTGGCAAAAAAATTTTATTAAATAAAGAAGGAGGTTCTGTAGCCTTATCATATTTTATTTTTATGTAATTTTTATTGATATAGAAAAAATAAAATACAGTACAAAATACCAACTTGAACTATTCCATGAATTAAGACCTGAAGAGTCATTGCTTTATAATAATAATTAAATATTTAAAAAAATATTAATTATATAATTCATAACTTTGCGATTTAGGAGTACTCTGTGTTCTATTTATTACTAGTTTAGCTTATATAAGTATTCTAGATATATGGAATACATTTTCATTTTAATACTTCTTTGAGAGCTTAACGCTTAAAGCTCTTTTTTCAGCTACTTCTGAAGTCATTCTATTTGATATAAAATTTTTATATGCTTGTATACGCCAATGACTATATGGCAAACTAGTTATTTTATCAGATAATATCCAATGCTTAGTATCTATAGGGCAAAGAGCTTTCTTTTCTAATTCGACCAAAGATAATATATGGTTTTTTGATCAAATACCTACATTTTTAGCATAGAATACTTCATTATTAAAGAGACACTAGAGTCATAAGATCTGCCTCAATTCGCATAGCTAAATTCTTGACTTCTTCCTCTGATAATAATGATCTATCTACTGAATCATCTAATAAAAACCCTTCTAAATCAAATATATATGAATTTGCAGCCATTTTACTTATACCCTTTTTGCTAACTCCTTTATGCTTAGACTTTGTAGACTTATTTGCCAAAATATAGTGATAAGACTTGGCTCGAATATGTATAGATTCTGCAATTACACTATCTGGAGTCTCATCCTTGTAAAGACCTATAGTTTTTGAGTTATTAAGGTCGAAAGGTCAAATCGCTTAGCTATATCCTTATAGATATCATCAGTTTCGACTATAAATATAAATGAGTCTGTATCCATATATCCAAGTATAGCTTTATTACCATATTTTTCTTTTACATACCCATACCAGAAATGATACATTAAAAGTTTGCTAAGGCTAAAAACTGATGCTCTGACAATAATAGGCTTGTTAAGAGTCACACTAGCCTTTCCTATATGTGCTCCTATTAAAGTATTTCCAAGTTGGCGACCATATTTAAATGAGGGTTTGCGAATCTGTTTAATAAACTTCTTTTTATCTTGCTCATTATTTATAGCTATAAGCTTGATATCTTGATACTTACGAACATTTTCCATAGTCTTGCCATATACAGAATTGTTTATAAGCTTAAAGAAGTCTTTCTCAAAAGCATTTTTAGCCTCTTGTCACTTTTCAGTATTAAAAGCAATATAGGATGCAAGCTAGTTAGTTTGATCGAAAGATAGAATTTCTATTACCTCATCTACTATCATACCTAATTTTATATAGTATTGAAGCTCCAAGTAGTAAATAACATATTCTTTTTGTGAACCAAGATGAGGTACTAATTTTTTTGTAGTTGAGAAATGTCCACCATCTAATTTATTTACAAGCTCTGTAGTATAAGAGCATAACATATTTTTATTTACAGCCATATTCTCTACAGCTGGAGGTAAATTATGCAAATAATCATGAGTTTTAGAAGAAAATATGCATTAATCTTTAGAAAATATCCTCTTTTAGCATCTGCTTTAGTATTAAGAATTTTTTCAAAATATTTCTTTTGCTCGTTTGGATTATCCTCAAGATATTTACAACTTATTTCTCATTTATAATTTCTAATAGGCAAATACTGACTCATAGCCCAGCCATAAAGATTATTAGCATCAACGTAGCTTATCCATGTTGTTAGTTTAGATGGGTTAAAGGCCTTACCCATCTTAGGATTGTTGGCTTTGAAATATCGATGACCTGCCATAGCTATATCTTCACGCTTAGCATCTTCTATAAAATCATGCATAGACATATCTGTAAAGAGCTCAATTTTAACTCCTGTCATTTTAAGCATGGCATCCCAAGCTAGTGCAGGTGCTAAAATATAATGACTAGGATCAAGCTCATAATACTGCATACATGTCATTCAGAATTGGGTCCAAATATCTGCAAGACTGAGTACATCAATTTTAAAATAGAGGTCATAGTATTCTCCTAGATTTTGGCAGTTAAATTCTTTTCATACTTTTTGCGCATGCTCATAATCTTTTTGATTAATTTCACCATGAAGATATGTACTAAATTCATGAATTTGTGGAAGCTCAGTCTCTAAAAATCTATTTTGTGAATCGATATATTTATAGGAATAAACTTCTTTACAACTTGCTAGTGAAATTTGATCTGAAGAATAGTCTTTAAAGTGCTGGCTTGTAATAGGATGGTTGGTACCCAAATTCTTTGTAAGATTTGCCAAGCTATTATTCATAAACTGCATACTATCTATATATTTAAGCTGACCCACCTTCATAGACTTGTATCGCTTAAATGTTTCAGCTATGACTTTTATCTGATAAGTATTAACTGATTTTCCAACAGATTTACATACTAAGTGAGAATCATAGCCTCGAAAGTTATGAAAGACAACTGGAATAGGGGTCTTCCAAGGTTCAATTTGAAGCTTAAGATTACATGCATTGTGGGCAGCTCCTCGAAACTTATCTGTGATATGGCAGTGATCTCAAACTTTATTATCTATAACAAGTTTTTCTTTATATATCCAACAAGTATTTGCTTCGGCAAATCTTTTTTTATCTTCCTCAGTCTCAATTCGGTCATGCTTTATAGCTAAGACCCTATTAATTCGAACTAATTCCTTATCAATTCTTTTGACAAATTCTTGAGTCACATTTTCTTCTCAATATATAAAAGGACCCCATATATCTCCAGTATTGATCTAGTGAACAAAGTAGCAAAAGCTATTGGCTTTTTGTTCAGCAAGCTTTCGCATTTGCCCTCCATATTTCTCATTACATTTCTTGTTGTCAGCTTCAAAGTCTGCAATAATAATACATGGAGTATTGATCATTTGTTTATAGTTCTTAAACTTTTCAAAATCATTATCACCCTTGATAGGTAATTTGACTTCTTGAGTTGCTTGTCCTAAGCCAAAACAGTGCTTTTGATGATAGGCTAGAGACTTTTCAGATGGCCAACTTATAGTACATTTTTTACAAATAT